CCAAACTATTTCCGCTAAATCCTGCCATGTGCATTGTAGCAGATGGTCCTGGAGATCCAATGAAATTAGTCGGCATTGAGAATGAGAACCCAGCTGCAGCCGCCGCAGCAACTGCAGCAGACTGTGACGACGACGAAGATGAAGAAGAATGACTTGATAAGGGAGCAATCTGGGAATTACTGGCAATGCTAGTCATGCTACTGGCTGTGGTGCTTGTGCTCAAATTACTCGCAATACTGCTGACACTATTTGTGCGGCTCAGTGCTCCACCACTGCCAGATCCACTGCCAAACCCTGGTGGAGCCATTCCAGGGCTTGCTGGTCCTCCAAACATGACAGGACTAGTCAAATACAAGGACGAAGATGACGGCACACTTGATTGGCGGCCCCGAGCCACGGAGCTTCCATTACTGCTATTACTTGTTGATCCGCCAAAGCTCCCCACGCGAACGTGTCTGCTGGTACTGGAGCTGCTAGTGCGCCTGCGCTTAGGCGATTCAGCAGAGTCTGCAGATGATAATGAAGAAGATGATGACGACGACAAAGACCCTGGGGTCATTGGTACTCCTCCGCTGGAACTACTGTTGATTGGATACATGTAATTATTGCCAAAGACGGAAGACATTGGCGAGGACATGCTGAGGCTGCGGTGGTGGTTATGGTTTGGGTTAGTCCCTGAACTAGTGCTGCTACTACCAGCTGCTGTTGATCCCGTGGACAACAATACTGAAGACTGTTGCAGTTGCTGGTTTTGTAATGAAGTCAACGCTGCAGAGTATGGTGTAAGCGAATGACCTTCTGCGGGGCCCACAAGGGGTCCCATCAATAGCCCAGCAGAAGGTCCTGCTGGATGTAGCATGGAAGTAGCCATAGGGGGTGGTGCAACAAGTCCTGGTGGTGGGCCTGCTGGGGAAAGAGCTCGTCCAGGTGCTGTTTGTCCCATTTTGGCCTCAATCTCCTCACGGTGTTTAGAAAGTGCATAAATCAAGCGCTGGTTGGGTTCTTCCAGCCCCATATTCAACTGGTTAGAAGTATGATAATAATTCTGAAGGCTGCGTTTCCTAAAGTTTTGTTCACGCTGAATGGCCAAGTCCACTGCCCTCAAAGCCAAAGCCAATTCTTCTTCTGGGAGCAGTGGAGCATGTGGGGACAAGGGAGGGGTAGGAAGCTGGCGGAATTGGGCCGTAGCAATTTCAACAAAGTCTGGTGGGGCCTCAATGACAAGCTCAACAGCTGGGTGGACAAAAAGTTCTGGGCTTAGGGCGGATGTTGGAGCCACGAGGTTGGGGGCTACAGTTTGGAGTTGATTGATGAGGGTTTTGAGCTGATCAAGAATAAAGTGTGGAACATAGTGAGGGGCTTGTGCTGCCGGGTAGTAGTATGCGGCAGAGGTGATGGTAGTATTGGCAGTGGTGGCGACAGCTAAGGAGGAGGAGGAGGAAGAGGAGGAAGAAGAACCCCTAGCAGAGCCAATTGCGTCATCAGCCAGTAGCAACCCCGAGCGCTGCCAGGCATCGCACAGCACGCCAGAAGGTACATTCGTCCAAGCTTCTTGGATCCAGTTAAGCACAGCTATCAATGGGAGGAACCAGAGTGAGTCCATGGCAGAGTCTAAGAGATCTCCAATTCCATCGGGTCCTGGTGGCGTTGGGTTCCCTGTTGTTGTTGATGTTGCTGCTGCTGCTGCTGCCGCTGCTACTGTACTCTCTTCGCTGTTGCTGACTGTACTAAAAAGATCTTTGACAAAATGCAACATCAATGCGCGGTAATTTGCTTTAAAGGTTTGGATTGGTCCAAGGTCAATAGGCGAGTGCTCTGCAGCCACGTTGCCTGGCAAAAACACAATCTTGACATTCTTAGGACCCACGGTATTATGTGGGAGGAACTCGTTGTCTTCTATTTTGAACAATGGAGTGGTTTGGCGCTGTCGCTGTTCGTGCATATATAAACGGAGCCCAACTTCGTGGCACTTGAATGGGTCAAGAATAAGTAGTACCTGTCGGCCAGCCATTCGAGAGTCAAACCATTCAAGCCATTGCTTAAAGTCTGCCAATGTGAGCCATGCAAGTGGGTTGGCAGAGTATTCAACTCCAAGAGAGAGCAAGTCTGTTCGTGTTTCTGTGAGTTGGTGAGTGTTTGCTCTGTTATCAGGGTCTAGAATTCCTCCTACTATGGGACCACCTGCGGCCGCTGCACCTTCACCCAATGGATCTTGTCCAGTAGCAGCTGCTGCTGCAGCAGCAGCCGCAGCAGCCACTGGGTTGACATATTTCTGAGGATACTGTTGTTGGCCAATGACCCAAGGTGGGAGGCGCTCCGTACCTGAAGCATTAGAAGCAAGCATGACGGTGAGGGTTCCTGGAGTATCACGGGTGGCAGTTGCAGAATCCAAGGCTCGTTGAGTTGGTGGAGCTCTATAGGCCAGAATTGTTTCTGTCATGGAAAAAACATTGTCTGGCCCATAGTACCGGGCAATATCTGAGCGAAGGAGTTCGAGTTGGCGTTGAGCCTCTTCATGAGCCTTGCGAGATACGGCGGCTGTATGAGAAGATTGCGAGAGATAGTGCGCGGAAGGTGTTGTTGTTGATGTTGATGATGATGATGATGATGACGATGGTCCTGCAGCAGCTGTTGCAGCTGAAGAAGAAGAAGATGATGATATTGGGCCTGCAAAACGTGGGAAAAAGGTTGAAGAAGAAGATGGCGATGATGAAGGAGAAGATACTGGGATTGAAATGGAGTGTGAGCGCAGATGAGGGTTTTGTTGACTTGGTCCTGGTGGTAATCCAGGGGCATATAGCCCATGGGTGTAGGATTCGGAGCGTCGGTGATAGCTTCCGTTATTGCTTCCTTGGTTGAGTTGCTGTTGTTGTTGTTGTTGTTGTTGATAATTGTAGAGGTCTGCAGACATAGCAGCAGCTGTGGCATTTGTAGACCCCCCAGGCCCAGCCATTGCTGAAGCTGCTGCCGCTGCCGCTGCTGCCGCTGCTGCCGCTGCTGCGTTTCTTGCAGAAGCATGTTTAGCATAAAAGGCATTCCCTGGTAATGGTGTCGGGTAGAGAGACGCTGCTTCGCCTACCTGGGAAAGAGCCTTAATACTATGTCGTAGCTTAAACTTTTCGACCCAACCTCCAGAAAGAGAGGGGCATGGTTGGCCTTGGTACTTAGGAATATGAGGCCATAAAGCATAAGCCAGGTTAAGTAGAGTTGACCCAGAGACATCTGTGCCCATGGCTTTTGTACGTAGAATGCACTCAGTCAGTGCTATTTCAAGGTCCGGGTACTTTGGTGGTCGGCATCGCTTGTTATCGTCATAGTCTGCACCAAGAGTGTCGAGATGGTCGAATTTAGATGAGAGGATATTGGAGATTGTGGAGAAGGGCAATTCAATGTTATATTCTCGTTTAAACCATGCCCGTACGTGTTTGTGACCCAGGCGCGGCTCCTGGGCCCGGTAAAAGGCCCGAATGGCCTTTTTTTGTGCGACCGAGATCTTAAGCCGCTCGTCGGTATGAGCCATAGTTTATACGAGGGTTGATGGTAAGGAAGAGAAGGAGAAGAAGGCGGGGGGAAGAGAGAGAGAGAGGTTTAGAGGAAAGTAATAATAAATAAATAATAAATAATAAATATATAAATAATAAACAATAAATAAATAGAGATAGCGATAGCGATAAATTTTCAATGGAGTATTTTTGTAATTATATTAGAATTTTTTTTTAAAGAAAAAAAGATATGAAAAGAAAAGAAATTGATGATAATGATGATAATAATAATAATAATAATAATAATAATAATATGGATTTTATTAATATTATTATTATTATCATGAATATTATGAATATTATGAATATTATAATTAAATTACTATTTTTATTATTATTATTATTATTATTATTAAATTAATTAAAGATATTTATGAAAATATAAAAATAAAAAAGCGGTGTTTTTTTTTTGTTTAAAAAAAATAAAAATAAAAAAAATAAAAAAAATAAAAAAAATAAAAAAAAAGTGGCGATAACAAATAAAGAAACTTTTTTTTATTTTTATTTTTATTTTCTTTATTTTCGTCAATTGTGCGCAGCAGGGAAAAAAAAAAAAAAGGCATTTGTTATCACCCATTCACGTGGGCATCACGTAATCTTATTATGTACACTAGTTTATTATTTAAAAAAGAGAGCATTAACTATACACAGAGAGCATTTTTGATGGAACTTGTTCAAACAACAAAAGTTCCTTTGATATTATATCGTCGTCAGTCATTAAAAAAAAGGTGGGCAGAAGTTGTGTTACACAATTTACTCCTTCTTCTCCTCAGAGGAAGAAGAAGAAGAGTCATTCTGCTGAGCCTTGGACTTGTAAACCTGCTCAAAGAGCTTAAGAGAAGCATTCTGGACCTCGTCAGTCTTCTCCTTAATCAGAGCAGAGTCAACCTCCTCGCCAGCCTGGGCACGGGCAACAACCTCACGAAGCTCAGTAATCTTCTCACGGATCTTGTCAGCCTCAGCCTTGTCAATCTGGGCCTCAAACTCGTTAAGAGAGTTCTCAGTCTCATTCATGATAGAGTCAGCACGGTTGGCAGTCTCAACAGACTCACGGCGAGCCTTATCCTGCTCCTTGTACTTCTCAGCATCGTTAACCATCTTCTCAATCTCATTATCAGAAAGACCAGAAGAACCGGCAACAGTGATAGAAGCATCCTTGTTGGTGCCCTTGTCCTTGGCAGAGACGTTGATGATACCATCAGCATCAATGTCAAAAGTGACCTCAATTTGAGGAACACCCTTGGGGGCAGGAGGAATACCAGAAAGAGTAAAGTTGCCAATGAGCTTATTGTCACGGACAAGTTCACGCTCACCCTGGTAGACACGGATCTCAACAGAGGTCTGGCCAGTGGCAGCAGTAGAGAAGACCTGGGACTTCTTGGTGGGGATAGTGGTGTTTCTGTTAATCAGTCTGGTAAAGACACCACCAAGGGTCTCAATACCGAGAGAAAGAGGAGTAACATCGAGAAGCAAAACGTCCTGGACCTCGCCGGCAAGGACGGCACCCTGAATGGCAGCACCAATGGCAACAGCCTCATCGGGGTTAACAGATTTGTTGGGCTCCTTGCCAAAGAGAGACTTGACAGTCTCATTGACCTTGGGCATACGGGACATACCACCGACAAGGATAACCTCATCAACCTCGTTAGTCTTAAGACTGGCATCCTTAAGAGCCTTCTTGACAGGGTCAATAGTGCGCTTAATCAGAGACTCAGTGAGGTTCTCAAACTGGGCACGAGAAATGGTAAGGTTAATGTGCTTGGGGCCAGAAGCATCGGCAGTAATGAAGGGAAGGTTAATATCAGTCTTGAGGGCAGAGGAAAGTTCGACCTTAGCCTTCTCAGAAGCCTCACGGATACGCTGGATAGCCATGCGGTCATTCTCGAGATCAATACCATTCTCCTTCTTGAACTGCTCGACAATGTGTCTAACAAGGTAAATGTCAAAGTCCTCACCACCAAGATGGGTATCACCGTTGGTAGACTTGACCTCAAAGACACCCTTCTGGATCTCAAGGATGGAGATATCGAAAGTACCACCACCAAGATCGAAAACAGCGACAACCTTGTCCTCAGTCTTCTCAAGACCGTAAGCAAGAGCAGCGGCAGTGGGCTCGTTAACGACACGAAGAACATTAAGGCCGACAATCTGACCAGCATCCTTGGTAGCCTGTCTCTGAGAGTCGTTGAAGTAAGCGGGGACGGTAACGACGGCATTCTTGGCGGGCTTGCCAAGGTAAGCTTCAGCAGTCTCCTTCATCTTGTTGAGGACGAAACCACCAATCTGAGCAGGAGAGTACTTCTCACCGCGGGCCTCGAGCCAGGCATCACCGTTAGTGTGCTTGATAATCTTGTAAGGAACCTGCTTGATATCCTTCTGGACCTCAGCATCCTCAAAACGGCGACCAATCAGACGCTTGGTAGCGAAAAAGGTATTGGTAGGGTTAACAACAGCCTGACGCTTGGCAGCGACACCGACGAGACGCTCACCTTCCTTAGTGAAAGCAACGACGGAAGGAGTGGTACGACCACCCTCAGCGTTCTCAATGACCTTGGGGACCTTGCCTTCCATAACAGCGACGGCAGAGTTGGTAGTACCAAGATCGATACCAATAACGGTACCCTGGACCTTGCCAGAGTTGAATCTAGCCTGGACAGCAGGAGCAAAGCTTCTAGTCTAAAAAAACATGTTAGTAAATTTGATTTATAAATGAATGGATGGATGGATGGATGGATGGATGGATGGATGGATGGATGGATGGATTGATTGATTGATTCAAACATACGTTTCTAAGAGCAGAACGGGCAAAGCGTGAAGCCAGCATTTTTTCTTTATTATGTGAAAAAAAGGGGGGAGGTGGGGTTTATGAAAAGATGTTTTTTTTAAAAAAAAAAAAATATTAAAGAAAACAAGTTAATGAAAAAAAAAAAAAAGGGAAGAAATAAAAAAAAAAAAAAAAAAATTTATAAAAATTTCCAATTGGTAGGAGGGGGGGAAGATCGTCCGTTTATATAAGACCGGCGGTGGCGGCGCCTGGAAGGCCGTGGAAGATTTGGGAAGAAAATTTTTCACTCTGACGGATTTGGCTGTTGTTAGTGTTTGTGTGTGTGTGTGTGTGTGTTTTTGTTAAAATGGAGGTTTTTTTTTTTTTTTTTTTTTTTTTTTTTTTTTTTTTTTTTGATTCTGTGTGGTCCCCCACAACCAATCGTTACGCCGCATTCCTACCATTTTCTCGCACCTTCTACATAAACGCTCTAATCACATGACTATGCCGTGCGAGTACCGGCCCCGCTATTTAATACTTTGTGACTAATTATATACATAAATATTAATCATATATTAGTCATTTTGCGTGTGTGTGTGTGTGTGTGTTTTTTTTCCAAACTTCTACGTGGGGTAAAAAATATGCTCGCAAAAAAATGAATAAAAAAAAAAGAAAAAAAAAATTCCCCAATTGCAACCCACCATCCGCACGGGACTCGGGTGTTCGGGATTCGGTCATAGATCGAGGGTATTCCGGGCTGGGCCAGGAAGGGAACCAGGAAGGGAACAAGAAGGTGGAGAGTAATAAAAATAATATAATTGAAAATAATGGAATTCAATGGCAAATTGACGGACAGAGTTTTTGAGTAAGTGGGGATCAAGGTTTGAATAATAGATGATGGAGGGATTTGGCATGCGGCCTAAAAGACGGAAGGATTGTGTGGGGTGTATCTTTAAAGGAAAAGTTTTTGATTTCCTTTTTAGAAGATTTTAGAAGATTCATATTTATTTAAACTTATATAAGTTTAGGAAATGATCATGATCTTATAAATTTAAAAGAATATTCAGCTTGTTTATTTTTATTTTTATTGCTTCAATAATGCGTCATTTTAATAAAACATAATATATTTTTAAAATATAAAATAAAAAAAAAAAAAGACCTCGATGATCTGAGGTTAAGACTGTTCAAGTACTCTCTCGAAGTTTTTACAACTTTCTTGCGGGCTTTTTTTTCTTTTTTTTATCACTTTCTTGTCAAATAAATTTAGTGAATGTAAGTATATTTTCTATATATATATATATATATATATATATATAGTTAGTAGTAGTAGTAGTAGTAGTAGTAGTAGTAGTAGTAGTAGTAGTAGTAGTAGTAGTAGTAGTAGTAATTGAATTTCATTTATTTTTATTTTTATTTATTTATATACGGGATCAATAACCCTCCCAGATATTATATCATATTGTTCTAGATCTCCATACAAGAAAAAAAAAAAAACCTCACACATCAACGGGTTTTTTTTTTGTCAACCGGTTGGTGAGTCGGTGCTCTCGGGCCCTAATCCCGTGTAATTGTTAATTAAATATATTTTGTTACACTTTTATTTTATTTTTTATTTTATTTTTTTTTATTTAAAAAAAAAAAAGAATTTTCATTATGATACACAGTAACATGTAACAACTTGTAACAACTTGTAACAACTTGTAACAACTTGTAACATATTAACACGTCGCGTAACAATCACGAAATTTTATTTACGCGACGCGTTTGTTTATTTTTACCTTTTTTTTGGTATTTTGCGAGTCGTCTTTTATTGTTTACTTTTCTAGCCGAAATGAAAAAAAAGTAAATAAATAAATAAAAGTAAATAAAAGTAAATAAAAGTAAATAAAGAAATTTTCCAAGCAAACCTCTCTGATTTGTAAATATAAATACTATTTTGTCAATTCATCTTTTTTGTTTCCTCTTTTTTTTTTTTTTTTCCTTTCTTTCTTTCTTTCTTTCTTTCTTTCTTTCTTTCTTTCTTTCTCTTTTCCCTCGTTTCTCATCTCTCAATCATCTGTTATTATCCAAATGACCCCAATAATTGACCTCCAACTCGCATTTTCTCCACTAACTCGTCAATACCTTATTGATGCCCTCAGAGAAGCCCTCATCCACGAAGGCTACTTTATAATAACAAACTATGAAGACTTTCTAGACCCCAAAATCGTCTCAGACGTAACAGCTTTAACTCCCAAATTTTTCAACCTTCCTCAACTTACAAAAGATTCCATGACAATTACTAAATCAAGGAACTTTCGTGGTTATTACAATAGTGCTAAACCCAAATCAGATCCTATTAAACCATCATCTTCCTCTCTCGAAGCTGCTTTCCCTGCACTTGAACATCCTTCAATTGTGTCTTCTCCTAAACCTACTACTAGTTCATTTAATAAAAATCCAACTCTCTCAGAACAAATTATCTTTGGCATGGATTCAGTAGCTACAGCTCATCTTCTTACTCGCGGTGAACCAGTTAAAGAACAAAAATTAGTTGCTATGCTACGCGGACCTAACCAATACCCTTCTTCCCTAACAATTCCTAGATTCAAACAAAAAATTAATAAATTTGCAGACACAATGAATGCCTTTTCTTACAAATTTGTCTCGGAGCTGGTCACCGAGGCCCTGGGGCTTACTAACTCACCATTCTATACTCTTTTTGAAGAATCTCCGCTACTAGCATGTCATAAAATCAAACTCACACGACACGCACCTACAATAAAAAAACACCCTCTTATTCCAGAAGACCACAGCAATAAGCAACAACTCTCTGCCCATGAATCACCAGTCAAAGATACCTATGGAACTAAAGACGATGGATCCCTTTTCACCTTTATCACTCCTTCTAAAGATGCTTCTCTCTCTATCATCAAACCTTCAGGCCAAAGTGTTTCAATTCCACAAAGCAGTCTCCCTGCTAATTGCTTCATCGTCACTGCTAGTGAGTACCTTTCCGTTCTCACTCAAGGTTTCAGTACAAGCGCTGTACTCAAGGTAGCCGCGCCGGCCGTGGACGAGTACGACGATATTGATCTTGTATCTCCTGCCCCCATCACTACTCCAATCCATGTCACTTCCTTTTCCCAATGCATTTCCATCGACTTTGTTTACCAAAATTTCACTTTCCCCAGTGCCGCACTGCCCCGTGCCCAAGCCGCTCAAGCTGCACGGTTGGCCCATTTGGGTGAAGGTGCAATTAAAGACCCCGCACCAAGTATATTCATTGACTTTGGTATGAAGGTATTCATCAACACAGCGAGACTTCATCCTCATACTACCTCGAAGTGGTACCCACGATTTGCCATGCGCTCTCTCAGAGGTGGGAATGGTAAAGATGCTGCAAATAGAAACTCGCAAAACAGTGCAGCATGGGCCAAACTTGAAGATGAGCTGGCGCGGCTACGTCAAATCTTTGCATCTGTGGATGCCAGTATTGTTGAACATTCCATTTCCTCAATTGTACCTATCACTCTTCCCAAGCTCAGAGAATCGGCAGCCCTCAACTCGGAATACCTAGTGGATCTCAATGCCCTTAGACAAATAAATACCATCTGGCCTGAAGCTTATTTTCTCAGCGTCTCAATGTTTGATGATAAAACGCCTACCATCCAGTTTGGTTCATCAGCAGAAAACTCACAAGGAACTTCTGAAAGCCCAGCTCGCAGTGCTCCGCGATCACCTCAAAAACGCAAGCAAGTATTTGCAAGCAAGTGTCGGAATTGGGTCGACAATGCGTTCCCGAAAGACTCAGATACAGTTAACGAAGAGTACTTGGAGATCCCCCTAGCACCTGTTGATCCAATTGTCCTGGGTAGCCCACGCAAACGGTCACTGGACGAAATGGCATGTGTCAGTGCTGCAGTCCCCGCTGCTGCAGAAAGCCCACAAGCACCGGCGTCAACCAAGCGCCAACGCATTATGGGGTTGGTGCGCGGGTCGCCCTCACCCTCTAAAATGAAGCTTAGTAGCCGGCCGTTTCCTTGTGGATCTCCCATGGCATCGCGTGCCGGATCCTCACTTTCGTTTAACGCTCGACTCGCCAACACAGCTGCCCCTGGAACCCCGCGTGCTCTTCGCCAGTCCAGTTTCGGATCTCCTTCTGTTTCATCGTCACCTGCTTCGCCATCAAAAGTTTTGGAGCGAATCCGTGCCAAGGAACAAGCTCAGCGGGAAGAAGATCTGAGTCTTGCATTTCCTCCAATTGGTGGCAAGGATAATCTTGAAGGTGGTCAAAACCTTGGAGGGTCATCATCAGCATCTGCTGAGCCTCTTTCTCCATACGAAGAGTATGTGCTTGGCAAGCTGCCAGCCGTGGCCGGGGTTGTTATTGGTCTGCGCAAGCCTCGCAGTGCTGTTGAGGTATTGTCACTTGCTGACACTGTGAAGAAGATTCGCGACAGTTTGGGTACAGGTCTAAGTGAGCAGGAGACAACCGATAGTTTACAGATGCTTTCTGTACGTGTACCTCGGCTTGTTTCACTGACGACAGTTGGTGCACTAACAAGTGTACGCGTTTATGGAGGCATGACTTTAGAGGACGCGAAACTAGCAATTGCTAGTTATGGAACTATACTGAACAGCGACTCGTCCACAGATGAAGACGAGAAGGGTAAGAAGGTGTTGCGGAGTGCAAGAAAGTCAATGTCTCCTAGAAAACAACGGGCAGAGGCTGCTGCTGCTTCTGCTGCTGCATCAGAGGGTGTAGCTTTAACCAACAAGACACAGGAATCTCCGTTGATGACACCTCCACAAACACCTACCAGAAGAAATCATGCACGGTTGGATGCTTTGGAAACAACGCCAATGTCTGCTCGTCAATTGCTTCGATCTGCGGCTCGTGTTCTTCAAAAAAGGAATGAAGTTTCTCAGTAATATTTCATTTTAGAGATGAATTAATTTTGCATATAATAAGCATATTTATTATTTATTTATCTTTATTTATTTCAATTTTTTTTTTTGCTTTATATATATATATATATAGAATTGTTTGTATAGAATAGAAAAAAGTCTTTTGTTTATTCCATTGAAAAAAAAAAAAAAAAAAAAGTCATTTGAAGATTGATTTTTCACAGTTTTAAGGGGAATTTTAGCAGTCAAGCCGCACACTTAGCCACCTGGCTTACGACAAGAACTTTCAAGTGTAGTCATTTGAAAATAGTGAGTGGCTAAGGGATTTACTGAAGTGAAAAAAAACTTAGGATTAGGGTGGAAGATTCTTTTTTTTTAAAAAAAAAATAAATAAAAGTAGATAATCATAAGAGATATTTAAGAAACAATTTATGCATTTTTCTATAGTTAAAATAACAATTTTTTTATAATTTTTGATAGTTTTTTTAACGTAAATTATTGAAACGTTTGTATAATCTTCATAGTTGGTAGGTCACAATGGTCAATATGTCATGTGATTGGGGAGTTTGGCCGAGTGGTCTAAGGCGCCAGCTTCAGGTGCTGGTCTCTTTGGAGGCGGGAGTTCGAACCTCCCAGCTCTCAATACATTTATTTTTTTTAATTAATTATTTTTTAAACCTCTTTTTTAAAAAATGTTGTTGTGAAATGCTTCTTTTTTTGTTTTCAATTTTTGATTTAATGACTAAGTTTAACAAAAGTTAACCAAAAGTTAAACAAAAATTAAATAAAAATTAAATAAAGTTATGTAAGTTGCTTATAAACTTTTATCTTTGGCTGCGCCATTTTGGTTTTGTGCAGTTGCGGTGTTTTTTTTTATTTTAATTTTTTTTTAATTTTTTTTTAATTTTTTCACTCCAACAAAGGATAGCAAAGAAAAGTCGTTAAAAACTTTTTGCCTTTATGGCTATCCGGAGCTTTGGGGAGGAAAAAAATAACAATCCTCCCCCCCCCCCCCTCATACCAGTAATTGTCCCGCGTCCCGATCGGAACTTCCTTCTTCAGATAAATGACCCTGTATTCTTGTCAATTGACTTATTGTGAACCTCCGGTCAAACCTCCGTCTTTCTTTTTTTTTTTTTTTCCTACGTAGAAACTTTCCGAGGTCCCCGAATGGTCCGGCCATCTAAATTTTTTTTTTTTTTTTTTTAGTCGGTTGAATTTATTTATTTATTTAATTTATATATAAGCCTTTCTAAAGACTGTTCACGTGACTTTTATTTTTCACTGCCACCACGCAAAAAAAAATAAAAAATAAAATAAAATAAAATACAAAAAAGCCTCGTTTTTATTTTTTTTTTTGCCTGGTCTTTTTAAATTTCCTTCTTTCCCGCAAACACAAACAACCAATTTTTTTTTTTTTTTAAACCCTCTTTCTTCTTTTTTTTTTTTTTTTACAATTCTTTTATTTCACATTCGAATACTCTGATATTCTTATACTTCTCTTATTTTCTTCTAAATATCTTATCATCTTTTTAATCCTCTCATAGCTCCTTCTGTCTTTTTACAGCCATGGCTAAAACTCAAAGAGCTGGACGAAAAGACGCAAAACGCGCGCCGCCCCCAAAGCGCGCAGCTGCCAGCGGTGGTATTCAAAAGGCCGCCTTCGATATAACAAAAAAGAAAGAAGTCGGTGTTTCTGATCTTACTCTGCTATCCAAAGTCTCTGACGACTCTATCAACGATAACCTTCAAAAGCGCTTTGAAAATGGTATCATCTACACCTATATTGGCCACGTTTTAATCTCCGTCAACCCGTTCCGCGACCTGGGTATCTACACCGACGCGGTTCTCGAAAGCTATCGTGGTAAAAACCGTCTTGAGGTTAGTCTATTTGCTCTTTCATACATTATCATCTATCTAATTTTTTTTTTATTTTTTTTTATTTCTAACATCATTTATTAGGTCCCTCCACACGTCTTTGCTGTCGCAGAAGCAATGTACTACAATATGAAGTCTTACTCAGAAAGCCAGTGCGTCATCATTTCCGGTGAGTCTGGTGCTGGAAAAACAGAAGCCGCCAAACGTATCATGCAGTACATTGCCTCCGTCTCTGGCCAATCCTCCTCAAACATTCAGAAAATTAAGGATATGGTCCTCGCTACTAACCCTCTGCTCGAGTCCTTTGGTTGTGCTAAAACCCTCAGAAATAATAACTCTTCGCGCCACGGAAAGTATCTCCAAATCCAGTTTAACCGCCAAGCAGAACCAATAGGTGCAACCATTACAAACTACCTCTTGGAAAAGGCCCGTGTTGTCGGTCAAATCCAAAACGAGCGTAACTTCCACATCTTTTACCAGCTCACAAAGGGCGCCTCTGATAGCCAGCGTCAACTCTTTGGCATCCAAACACCTGAGGCTTATGCCTATACCTCTGCAAGCAAGTGTGTTTCCGTCCAGGGTATTGACGATATTAGCGACTTTAAGGAAACTATCCGTGCAATGGAGATTATCGGTCTCCACCAACAGGAACAGGACCAAATCTTCCGCATGCTTTCGGCAATCTTGTGGATTGGTAACATTGACTTTGCAGAAAATAATGAAGGAAATGCTAAAATCCGTGATGAGTCTGTCCCTAACTTTGTCGCATATCTCTTGGAAGTAAATGCCGCCGACATTGAAAAGGCCCTGACTGAGCGTATCATTGAGACTTTCCGTGGTACCGGCCGCCGTGGCTCGGTTTACGAGTCTCCTCTTAACTTGGTCCAGGCTCGAGCTGTCCGTGACGCCCTAGCAAAAGCTATTTACAATAACCTCTTTGACTGGATTGTCGATCGTCTCAATCAATCCCTCGAAGCCAAAGAAGGTCTCGATAAATCCATTGGTATTTTGGATATCTACGGGTTTGAGATTTTCGAAAACAATAGTTTTGAACAACTTTGCATCAACTATGTTAACGAAAAGCTTCAACAAATCTTTATCCAACTTACCCTTAAAACTGAACAAGATGAATACGTCCGCGAACAAATCAAGTGGACCCCAATCGACTACTTCAACAATAAAATTGTCTGCGACCTTATTGAAGAAAAGCGACCACCAGGTATCTTCTCAGCCCTTAACGATTCCTGCGCAACCGCCCACGCTGATTCAAACGCTGCAGACCAAAACTTTGCCCAGCGTCTTTCCCTGCTCACTAGTAACCCTCACTTTGAAACTCGTCAAACAAAGTTCCTCATCAAGCACTATGCCGGTGATGTGTATTACGACATTAAGGGTATGACTGACAAGAATAAGGACCAATTGCTCAAGGATCTTCTTATTCTCATCTCCAAGACTGCAAATCCCTTTTTGCATTCTCTCTTCCCGGAGCACGTCAACACAGAGTCTAAGCGTCGTCCTCCCACTGCTGGTGACAAGATTAAATTATCTGCAAATGCCCTCACTACCACTCTGTCCCAATCTCAGCCTTCGTACATTCGTACCATCAAGCCCAACCAGACAAAGAACCCCTCCGACTATGATACCAAGATGGTTCTGCATCAAATCAAGTACCTGGGTCTCCACGAAAACGTCCGCATTCGTCGTGCTGGTTTTGCTTATCGTCAAACTTATGAGAAGTTCACCGAGCGCTTTTACTTGCTCTCAGGTAAAACTTCCTACGCTGGTGATTATATTTGGAAGGGCGATTCTCGCACTGCAACCACAGAAATCCTCCGCGATGCTGGTGTCCCTGCTGGTGAATTCCAAATGGGTACTACCAAAGTCTTCATCAAGACCCCAGAGACGCTCTTCTCGCTCGAACACATGCGTGACATGTATTGGCACAATATGGCTGCTCGTATTCAGCGCGCTTGGCGCAAGTACCAGCAAAAGAAGATCAATGCGGCCATCAAGATCCAGCGCGCTTGGCGTAAGGAAAAGGATGGCGATATCTACATGGTTCTTCGCGACAAGGGACACAAAATTCTCAACAACCGCAAGGAGCGTCGCCGTCTCTCACTCAATGGCTACCGCCGTTTCATGGGCGACTACCTTTACTGCAACAGTCCCAAGAGCTCTGGTGGTTTCACTGCACGTGCTGTAGGTCTCAACGAAACCGCCATCTTTTCAATGACAGGAGAGACTCTAGTCCACAAGTTTGGTCGTTCATCCATGCGTGTTCCGCGAACTTTCATTCTGACCAAAACAAAGCTTCTCATCATTGCCAATCAGGTCATCAACCATCAGCTCACCGTCGTTGTAGAGCGCAACATCCCGGTCCCCTCCATCAAGTATCTGGCCATGTCCAGTCTGCGCGATGACTGGCTCGCCATTTCAGTTCAATCCCCCAGCGAGCCCGACCCATTGATTTCGTGTCTCTTCAAAACGGAGCTGGTCACGCATCTCAAGCAGCTCCGACCCAACCTCGACCTGCGTATCGGCCCCACCGTGCAGTACTTTAAGAAGCCAGGTAAGATCGCTACAGTCAAATTCCAAACTGACTCCACTGCTGGCTCCACCGATAATTACAAGTCCGGTATTGTTCACGTTGCCCCAGGATGCCCACCCAACTCTGTCTCGGACCCCACCCCGCGCAAGAGCCCGCGCGCTGCTGGTACCCAAGCAGCTAGACGTCCTCCTCCTGCACGCACCGCTGCCCCTGCCCCCAAGCGCAACCCGCCTCCTGCAGCTCCACTTCCCACTTCTAACGCGCGCCGCAACCCGCCGCCCCCTCCTCCTGCCACGCGCCAGCAAAAGTCCCCTCCTCTTCAGATGCCCTCATCACCTTTCCAGAAGCAGCCCGTGCGCATGCCCGAGCCCTTTGGCGCTTCTAAAAATGCAGCAGTGGCTGCTGCCAGTGCTGCATATAACCCAACAGGCAACTCCCCTGCTGCCACACCTACACCCACCGCAGCTAAACGCTTGTCTTCAGTCAACAGGAAACCCGTTGCTCCAACTTCTCGGCCAACACACCATGCTCCAGCTCAACGCAAGGCTGCTCCAGCACCTGTGGCTGCTACTCCTGTGGCTGCCCCTGCTCCAGCTCCTGCTCCTCCGCCACCTCCTCCACCCCCAGCCGCTCCTCCCACTGCCCCTGCAGAGCCGCTCTACAAGGCTCTGTACGATTTCCCGAGCGCTGCGGCCAACCAATTGTCAGTATCCAAGGACGAGGTTGTGATTATGAAGCAGAAGGGCAACGAAGGCTGGTGTCTTGTTCAGCGCCGTGACGGTTCTGCAGAGGGTTGGGCACCCCTATCATACCTCGAGGAGCTTAGACAAGCGCTTCCATCACTCTCTAGCAATGGCACAAGCACACCTGCCTCAGGATACTCGCAAGCTTCAGCAGCATCTACTCTGGCATCCGCACCCCAGCAGCAGCAGCAGCAACAACCTCAATTGGCTATGGGCCTGGCAGATGCACTTAAGCAAAAGACACAGCAAAGCAACCAGCTTGCCGGAGGTCTTGCAGAGGCGCTCAAGGCGCGCTCTGGTCGTCATGATAGCGATGATGATGATGACGATGATTGGTAAACAATCCAATGATGGAACTATACGACTATGATTACTACAACTTTTTGTTTTTATTTTTTGTTTTTTTGAAATATATATATATATCTTGAGTTTAAATAATAGAAAAAAAAACTTGTTAAATTAAAAAGAAAATTACTACAAAATTTCAAATAAATCTAATGTACAAACACAATAACTACACAATTTTTTTTAGTTCCGGCGCTGATTCTGGTGATGGTGGTGCTGATGTTGATGTTGATGTTGCTGCTGCTGCTGCTGGTGTTGCTGGAGCAGAGCAGTCGCCATTTGCTGTGTCATATTAAACGGCAGCTGCCCACCATTACCCATTGGTGCGTTCATTTGCCCACCCATTGGCGCACCGCCAAGTCCCGGTGGTGGAGGTGCGCCTCCACCGTTACGACCGCCCTGGTTTCCAGCCTGCTGGAGCTGGAATAGCGCCGCTGACAAGTTTGGCGAAACCCCTGGCGCACCATATGATTGAGGAGGTGCGCCGCCGTACTGTGGAGGTCCTCCCATAGGAGCACCCCCACCCATGCCAAATTGCTGGACTGCTGCCGCAGCAGAAAGCTGCTGCGTGAGCTGTGCCAAAAGCTGCTGTGGGTTATTATTATTGTTGTTGTTACCGCCATTGTTATTGTTGACATTATTTCCTCCATTGTTATTTCCATGACGGTTCCCGCCACGGCCTCGGTCGTACCGTTGGTTGTGATTGTTTTGCTGGGGTTGTTGCATGGGCGCACCGCCAGGAGCCATGCCCTGTTGGTTCAAACTTGAAATGAGAGTGGCCAAGTTGGCGGGCAAATTAAATCCACCGGCTCCAGGCATATTCATACCAGGCATGCCCATGTTTTGCATCCCAACAGGTCCTCCAAAGTTTGGCATACCTCCATTGAAGTTGCCGCCACCATTGTTGCCCTGTCGGCCACCTCCGCGCTGGTCACGGAAACCAGCACCGCCGCCACCGCCGTTGCGATCCCCATTCCCGTAACGGCCACCGCCTCCATTGCGGCCACCATTTCCAGCATTACGTCCACGGTCACGGTCACGATCACGATCACGACCTGATCTTCGGTCATGACGACCACCTTCCCTTCGTCTACCATGGCCACCGCCGTTACCACCGCCGCTGCCGCCACCATTACTGCTTCCACCGGATGGTGCTCCGTTAAAAGTAGGCTCGGGTCGCTCACCGCGAGAAGACTTGGGTCCGTTACGAGATGAGTTACTAGGCATTCGCTGGCTAATGGCCTTGGAAGAAACGCCGGCGCCAATCTCAATATCAGGCTCTTCAATACAAAGCCCAGAATCTAATGGAGCGCCTCCAGTACCACCAAACTCAGCCTCAACAATCCATCTGCGATCAGCTTCAGTGAGTTTGGAAAGGGGAATAATACTAATACCAGTCTGGTAGTCGCAGCATTCGCGTGGGCCAAAACCTACACCCCAACGAGCACGCAACCCCAAACGTCCAGTCTTGTTCTCCTCCTCCAAACGTTCGCGCGAGACTTCAGCCTCAGCACGAGAGTACAGTTTAACAAAGGCATGTCTCATTTCCTTTTGGAATACCATGCTTTGGACCTCAGCAAATGGCTTAAAGATTTGGATCAAAGACTCTTCAGTGGTATCAGAAGTGACACCACCAATAAAAAGTGTACGACTAAGAACCTTTATGGAACCATCGGGGATAGTAGGGTCCCGAGTGACATTGCGTTCACGAGAAATTTCATGATCAGGTGCAACGTCCAATTGCTTACCACGTTTTGGACTATTGTTGCGAGCACGCTTACTGTTGCCTCGGCCATCTGGAGATCGAGATCTACGACGACGGTCAAAGCCACGTTTGTCGTCACTTTCTGAATCTTCTTCCTGGTTTTCATTTTGCCCGGTCTGCCCATTCCAAGGCTGATCAGCATTAGTTGAAGAAGCAGAAGTAGCAGAAGTAGCAGAAACACCACTTGCAGCGCCACCAGGGCCTTGTTGATTCTGTTTGAGAAGTTGAGTAATCAAATCCGACTGCAAAGCAGCGGCAACTGTACTAGATGCATTACTGGAAATATCACCGGTCAACGTGCTGCTACTAGATTCTCCTCCCTCAGTTTTGGTGACAAGGGTATTATCACTACTACTACTAGTATCGTCATCCTTTGTGGTTGGCTTGGGATCTTGCTTAATTTTTTCAAGAAACTGTGCAATAAAATTTGCATCGGGAACAGGAGCCGATGCTACAGAAGGTGCTTCTGAAGAGACTTCAGATGACACTTCAGGCGCAGAAGTTTCCTGTGCTCTCAAAGAAGGTGAAAGAGGTTCTTGATTGGCCTCTTCATCTTGTGTTTGAGCTTTATGTTGTTCCGTGAGATTACGAACAGCTTCTACGATGTGTGATGGTGGCGATGAAGGTGGAGTAGTAGACTCATCTATTAAAAAGAAATTAGTGTTTGAGACATAAAAAATTTAAGTGAAATACAACATACCGTTAAACCATTTACGCTTGATTGTATCAAGAGTCTCTTGGGGGAAAGTCTCACAACGCTCCCAAATATCAATGACTTTTTTCATCTTGTCCTGTAAAATACCTGTTAAAACTGAAATCAAAAAAAAAAAAGCTTTTAAACTTACCTTAACATCTTCAGCAGGGGGAATGCCAAATATGTTAACAAACATCTCTTCCACCAACTGAGATATTCTGTAAACTGCAGCAGTATAGGTTCCTTCAGGAGCTTCAGATGGGGTTGGGTAGCTCTCATTTACAGCAAGATCTTGATAGCCACGGGCAATTGCATCCACAACATACAAAATACCTAGTTTATGAGAATAGGGTGTTTTTATCAGATGATTGTACATGGCATCTGTCATTGATTTTTCAAGCTACAAAAAAAAGTTAGTTACGATGAATGACGAGCAGTAGTTTTTCTTTTGTCTAAAATAAATACCTTTACATTAGAAACTGCGAGAGAAGTTAAACTTCTAATCTTGGATCCCGAAACTCCAGGGGGCTTTACAGAAAGTAGTGCGTCCAAGATATTTGTAAACTCCGTGAAAGGGTCAGCAGCAGGTGCAGAAGTTTCTGACATTTTAAACCACGTTGAATAAAAATAAAATTAAATATGCGTTGCCTTGTTTAAAAGTAATACGAATAAAGGGCAGTAATCAATAAACCAGCGCAAGCAGAGATACCTTTTACTACTACTACTACTAATAAAATAGTGCGTGTATTTTCTGTATCCGTCTGATTGTGATTAAAAAAAAAAAAATAAAAAGCGCCACGCTATTTAGCTAACTCGTGATGTGACTTACTGGTAGCTAAATAAATTTTCCGAAATCCAAAAGAATGATTTACTGAGGCTGTTTTTTTCTTCTTTTAGTCGGATTCTAAATTGATTTGAAGAGTCTTATTAATTATTTTTCTTAGAAACCAGTTAAATATTAAAGGTTAAGTTAAGAGGGTATAAATTTTTATAAGTTGTAAAAAAAAAATTTTATAAATTGCTTTAAAAAAAATTTCGTAAGAAGTGGAAAATGTAAAGGTGTTAAAATTTTAGAGGTTCTTAAATACGTAAAAAACCTCTAAGTATATTATATACTGCTGTATATCATGGTCTATATAAAGCCGGGTAAGTTTGTTGTTTCTTTCATGTGACTTGTACCTTCTGTGAACTGAAGAATTAGCCGCCGCAGGTTAAGGTTTCCCCAACCAGAAAAAAAAACCTCCGATAGTAAGAGCTTCAACAGTTTGTCCCGGGCTTTTTTCTTCTCAGCACACTCCATTTGAAAGAAGAAGTAAAAAAAAAATTTTTTTGTTTCTCTTAAACTTGGTCATTACCATATCCATTTTTATTTCATTTTTTTTTATACCGGATTAATCCATATTGCAATGTTTGTTTGCTGACACCGACTATTATCTCAGTAGTTAAACTTTTCCTTTGTACGTCATGATTACACGCTTTCTCCACTTTTCCCAAACACCATGTTAACATTTTGTAGATTCCAAACTTTTAGCTCTAAAGAATGTCTCCGTCGGGCTCTCAAAATAATCCTTCTGCTAGGGATGAACACCCTACACCTTATTCTCCGAGAATCTCTCATCACGGTCACCATGCCTCTCGAAGACGATCTAACTCTGTGGCTACCAATCGTAGCGAGGCCATAGATACTGATTGGGACGAAGAGGACGAGTACTTGGCCGAGCCTGCTAGTGAAGAAATCTTTTCCGGTCCCGTTTCTGAATCTGTTCCGTCAGCCTATTCATCTTTTCATCATCGTCGCTATTCTTCTCGCCAACCCTCAATCAGTAGACGTGACTCATCAGTTGACAGACATGCGCCGCCTACATTTCCAGATAACGCAGAAGGAGAGATTGCGTCTTCTGTAGGTTCTCGCCACAGCTTCAGCTTTTTTCGCCCTGGGAGTGCGACTACTCAACCAGCAAGCTACCATCAACCCGAATCTGCTGCCAATGAGACTGATGAGTCTTTAGCTAATCGTCGCGACTCTATGGCTTCTTTGGGTTCAGAAATTGCATTTAGACATCGCTCTGAACCCAATGCTGCCTCCTTTAGATTCTTTTCTCAAGACGAAATTGAGCATGCAGAGAGTGCTAGTACTGTTCCTAATGAAGTTGATCCAGTTGAATACGAAATTTTGCGCCGTGAAAATGAAGAATACAACCCGGAAGAAGATGTCTCTGATTATATTGCTCGCACACCTCATCAGCACCCCTCTCGATATGCTTATGAAGACACTAGCGTTCTCCTGAGACATGAGGCTGAAATTGAACTTGCTCGTGATGAGTTGGAATTTGCTGAAGAACAGGATCATGAAGAAGAAGTTATTGAAGAAGAAGAGGCTGCTGCTGCAAGATCAACCCATGGTCGGCGACGCTCAAGTGATGACCACCTTCATCGTTGGACTACTCATGATTCTAATGAGCCTTTACTTCTCAGTCGTATAAACTCTCAGATTTCTCCCCAGCCCACTTCCAAAAAGTACTCCTCTAGTTCTACCTCTCAGCAGCGTTTTTACATTTCTGAAGAAGATATGGTTATTGTTATTGCTGGCTTTAATAGCAGCAGAATGCGCGCGGCATTATATTATGCATTATGCATATGCACTCTTGGAATGGCCTACCTTATTCTGCGCTGGATTCCTCGCTGGCATATTGCCTGCCTGGGCAAGCCCGCACCTCTTGGTCAATGCAACTGGGTCGTTGTAGAAAATCAGTGGGGAGAGTTGAGCGTCATTAATGTCGACTCATTTTACTTTAACCGTCCTACGTCTCATGTGTTTCGCCTTAAAAATCCTGAAAAAGAGTCTGGTAGAGGTGCTGAAGTGTCCAATGGCTCATCTACAGCCGGTACAGAAAATAGAGGGGATTCTCAAGGCTCTGATGCACCTACCAACAAAAATTATGAAACTGATGAAGAAGATGGGTATCAAGAAGATCCAATCATGCACACGTTACGTGTTATTGAATATCGCTACATTAAGTTTTACTACAACCCTCAGGAAGACATTTTTCTTACAAATTATGACTGGGTTGATCCCACTTGGACTAGCACTGAACGTGTTCGGGAAGGAATTGAGCCTGAAATACAAGCTGAACGCAAGCTCATTTTTGGGCCTAATATGATTGATATTAAGGAAAAAACTACTGTTCAACTTCTTGTTGACGAAATTTTACACCCATTCTATGTTTTTCAAGTGTTTTCCATGCTTCTTTGGGCGTGTGATGAATACTATTATTATGCAACGTGCATTCTTTTCATCTCTGTTATTTCTGTTGGAAACACATTGATTGAAACAAAGCAAACTATGCGTCGTCTTCGTGAAATTTCTAGATATGTTTCTGATATTCGTGTTTTACGATCTGGATATTGGATTACGATTCTTTCTTCGGAACTTATGCCAGGAGATATTTATGAAGTTTCAGATCCTTCAATTTCCATTTTCCCATGCGATTCTGTTTTGTTGTCTGGTGACTGTGTTGTCAATGAAAGCATGCTCACCGGTGAGTCAGTGCCTGTTTCTAAGTACCCAATCACCGAAAGTGCCCTCAAATCTTTTGTTAATGGCCCTAGTCAGGGTTCTAGCGTTCCTGCTGATGTAACTAAGCATTTCTTGTTTTCTGGAACAAAGGTTGTGCAAGTTCGTCGTCCCGTTGCCCAAACTGGTGATTCAAGCAATGGAAATGTTTCTTTTGACCAACTTGATGTTGCTGTTGCTATGGTTGTGCGTACTGGATTCATGACAACAAAGGGTTCCCTGGTCCGTTCAATGCTATTTCCTAAGCCCAGTGGTTTCAAATTTTACCAAGACTCGTTCAAGTACATTGGTGTCATGGCTTTTGTCGCTGCCTTGGGCTTTTCTTACTCTATTGTCGACTTCATTAAAATGCACATGGGTACCAAGCTTATTATTTTCCGAGCTTTGGATTTAATTACCATTGTTGTTCCTCCTGCACTTCCTGCCACTCTCACAATTGGTACTAACATCTCACTTTCCCGGTTGCGCAAAAAGAAGATTTTCTGCATCAGCCCTAGTCGCGTTAATGTTGGTGGTAAATTAGATATTGTTTGCTTTGACAAGACCGGTACACTTACAGAGGATGGTTTGGATGTATTGGGTATGCACGTTCAGGAAAATGGTCGGTTTAGCGATTTGTTGCAGAGCATTGATGATGTTTTCCCTTTTAGTGATTTGGATTTTGGCGAGCCTGATATTGGAAAGACTTATGGCGGTATTATTAAAAATAGCAAACTTCCAAAACAACAACGTTCATCTTTTGTTGCGGCACTGACGACTTGCCATTTGTTGAGAAATATTGATGGTGAAATGCTTGGAGATCCTCTTGATTTTAAAATGTTTTCCTTTACTGGATGGAACTTTGAGGAAGAAGGTGGTGCTAGGCTTTTTGCAGCTGATTACACCCACGAGTATCCGGTTCCAATTTCTCGTCCTCCAACTACAAACGAAGCCAAATTTTCACTGCCAAGTAATACTTTGGGAACCATTTTGTCTTTTGACTTTATTCCACGACTTCGTCGCATGAGTGTCTTGGTCAAGAGTTTGGGTGCCTCTGGTGCCAATGATAGCACTGATATTCATGCATATGTTAAAGGTGCTCCTGAAATTATGCCAGAAGTTTGTGATCCTTCAACTTTCCCTGAAGATTACGAAGATCTCCTTTACCAATACACACACCGCGGATATCGTGTCATTGCTTGTGCTACAAAAACATATACCGATTTAAGTACAGCAGACGCTCGAAAGCTGAAGCGAGAGGATGTCGAATCTGGCCTCAAATTTCTTGGTTTTATTGTTTTTGAAAATCGTCTTAAACCTACAACGACAAGTGTAATTGAGCAGCTTAATGAAGCTCATATCCGTACAGTTATGTGTACTGGTGATAATGTTTTAACAGCCATTAGTGTTGCCAAAGAATGCCACATGGTTGGTGAAAACACCAAGATCTTCGTTCCTAGATTTGAGCAACTTCCAGATGGTGTTTCTCCTGATGAGTTTAATCCTATTTCATGGGAGTACATTGATGATCGTCAATTGCGGCTTGATCCTGTCACATTCCAGCCCTTTTTTGTTCCTGAAAATGGTGAGACAATTGCTCAAAGCGAGAACCATTTGCAACAAGTGCGCCACTATCAGGAGTTTGGTTTTGATTATGCGTTAGCTGTCACTGGTGATGCTTTCAGATATATGGTACAATTTGGCCGTGATAGACAGCTTGAGCTTGTACTGATGAAGGGTGCTATTTTTGCGCGCATGTCTCCTGACGAGAAGCATGAGTTGGTTGAAAAGTTGCAGAGCTTGGATTATACTACAGGCTTTTGTGGTGATGGTGCTAACGATGTTGGTGCTTTGAAGGCTGCCGATGTTGGTATTTCTCTTTCTGAAGCTGAGGCTTCTGTTGCTGCACCTTTTACCTCACAGGTCTTTCAGATTTCTTGTGTTTTGGATGTGATTGCTGAGGGCCGCTCTGCACTTGTAACAAGTTTCAGTTGCTTTAAGTACATGTCACTTTACTCTGCCATTCAGTTTATAACAGTCTCAATTCTCTACTCTTTGGGGTCCAATCTTGGTGATTTCCAGTTTTTGTGGATCGACTTGTTTCTCATTCTGCCCATTGCCATTGTCATGGCTTGGTCTGAGCCATACCCCACCTTGTCAATCAAGAGACCTACTGCCAACCTGGTTTCGCCCAAGATTCTTGTCCCCCTGCTTGGTCAGATTGTTATTTTGGCGCTTTTCCAGCTCGGCATTTGGCACGCAGTGCGCAAAGAACCGTACTACGTTCCTCCAGTCATGGGTGGAAGTGATGAGGATGTGGACTCGACAGACAATACAGCCTTATTTTTCTTTTCGAGTTACCAGTACATCTTCGTGTCAATTTTGCTTACAGTTGGTCCCCCATATCATGAGCCCATCATTAAGAATAAGCCATTTGTTATCACCATCATTCTCACATGCTTGCTTACTGGATCCTTTATGCTGGTATCTGCCGACACTGGGTTGGGTCAGTTTATGAATTTAACAGATCTCAGCTCCACGTTTAAGTTGATCATTATTGCTACAGTCTTGGTCAATTTCTTCGTGAGTAAGTTCTTTGAAGACCATGTGTTTTTGCCATTGGCTGTGTTTTTAAGAAAACTTTGTATCATGTTAAAGCTACCTGCAAAGACTGTGTCAAACAAGCTCTACAAGCGCATCATCAAAGCCATGGATCATCAAAAGCAAGTGTAAGAAGAGAGAAGGACAATGGGTATTTTTTTTATATAGAGTCGATTTTTTTGAATTTTTTTTTATTTGAATTTTTTTTTATTTGAATTTGATATTAAAAATAAAAACCCTGTATGACATTAAAAAAAAGAAGAGTAAGAAGCTTAGTCGAATATAAAAATAAAGCATCTTAGTTGGTTCGTAAAGTTTGTGTGGCTTTATATGGTATTTGGCACACGTTTTGCTGTGTTTGCTAATCTAAGGTATTCATATGCGCGAGATTTAAATGTGGGAAAAAGGTCAACAAGTTTAGTGGTGTTCCTCCTTGCCTTCCTCAATAGCATGGTGGCTAGAACCATGCTCCCAAGGGTGCCGTAAGCCGAGAATGACACCGCCATCCTATAATAGAAAAAAAAACAAGTTAGTACTTTGAAAGCAATTGGAGAGATGGTGAAAGGGGTTGGATATTGAGTAAGTGCGTGAATGAATTAATGCGTGAAAAAAAAAATTGCCGGTGATTTAGTAAACTGATTTGTTTCTGGGTCAAATAAACGAGTTTAAAGTATAGTTTAATAAAGATTGAATAGTATTCCAACCCCTGGTTGATATCACATTGGTGATCTGAATAAACGCACCTCTCTGACACGGTAGAAGATCCAGAACCACATGGTAGCACCAAGAAACTTGGAAATGAAACGGTGCGATCTAGCGACGTGGGGGAAAGGAACAGGGCCATAAGGCTTGTAGTGACCGTGAGAAGCGCCCATTATTGATAATTTTAAGGTTGGTAGTAGTTGGTGGTGGTGTATGTGACGATAATCTATGGGAGTAGAAAAAAAAAAAAAAAAAAAAAAATAAAAAATAAAAAATAAAAAATTTAGAGGGAGGGATTTGGGTGCAAAAGGACGGAAAAGAGCAGAAAATTATTGGAAGGGTGGAGGTTTGTATAGTTGAGAATTTCGCAGCCAATCACTGGGCGATGATATCAAAGTGTTTAAAAAAAAAAGATAATTAAATGTTATGTAATGATTTGTCAATTATTAAATAATAATTATTAAATCATGTGATATGTTACATTTTATATTATTACATTTTCTTTTTAATTATTTTTTTTCTTTTTTTTCTTTTTTTTTGAAAATGAAAAAATCACAACCACCACTGCCATTTCAAACCCAGCAAGTATACTTACTAACAGCGGCACACACCGACTACTCTCTCTAACAGCATCACCACCACCCAAAAAATTTTTCAGCAGTGGGAGTCCCCAACTCTTTTTTTTAATTTTTTTTTACATCTCTTCTTCAAGCATAGCTCTGCCTTTTGATCCCATCTCACATTTGGCTTCAATACATATCACACACAATGGAAAACACTCTTGCCAACAAGCCTTCCACCCGGCCCGAAGCCATCAGCGAGCTGCTGCGGGGCCTCGATCGTTTTGATCTGTCTAAAGTCCCCGTGTTCCAGGATTACGTCAAGCAGCAATGCGCCGACGGCACCTTCGACATTGAGGCTAACCTCGCCCTTCTTAAGCTCTACCAAATGAACGTCCAGGCTGTCCCTGACGAAGATACCATTCTTGCCATTCTGTCCAAGGGTCTTGTCCGTTTCTACGCCTCCGACTTTACCCTCGCTCTCCACCTCCTCCCCTGCCACGTTCTCGGTGACATTACCCCCCTCTCCACCGCTAAAGAAGAAAAGAAGGCCGCCGCTGCTGCTGCCGCCGCTGCTGCCGCTGCTTCTGCTTCTTCCGCTGCCGCAAACACTCCAGCTGCTGTTTTCGCGGCCCAATCGACACAAGACGCTGCTGCTGCTGCCGCTGCTGCTGCCGCCGCCGCCGCTGCTAGTGCAGCCGAAAGCAGTAGCGCACCCACCGCCGACCCCACCGTTGGCACCGATAGTCTTTCCGAGTCAGTCCAGCGCCTGTGCTCGCTGTACGCTCTTTTGGATGATGCCAAGTTTGCCGACTTCTGGAGCACATATGAGGAGGATGATGCTTTTGCTGACGCGGTGTGCGGCGTTGCCGATTTCGAGGACGCGCTGCGTCTTTCTATCGCCAAGGCCGTTGGTCTGTCGTCGCGCAAGTTCCCCGTGTCAGTGTTCCAAGAGTGGACCAACATTTCCGGCAACAAGTTTAACGACTGGGTCGTCAAGACACTTGGCTGGTCCTTTGATGAGTCCAAGGAGGTTGTCATTATTCCTTCCAACAAGGATAACGAGATCAAGACGGTTGTCACCAACGAGACTGTTCACTTTGAGCAGCTTGGTCGTCTGATCAAGAGGGGCTATGAGATAAAATAAACATGTAGGCTTATGACTTGATAAAGGAGTTTTGTTAATTGTAACGTTGTGTTTTTCTTGATTTATTAAAAGACGATGAAGAAAAAAATCCAAGTTGAAAGGAAGGAAAGTTCAGTTGAATTCTTTAAAAAAAAAAAATGTTTATGGGAGCTATTTTAAGCATACATGTTTAATATTTATGCGGCTGTAAATTTACATAATATTTGTGGGAACGAGCAATACCACATTATTATCAGCTCATTTGGAATTCTAAAAAGAAACCTTCAATCAATGCCTACCAAACTGGTGAGAAGACAAAATATTGAATAGGAGGGAAATCAGCATTAGGCTTAAAGCTCAATGAATTTCTATAATTAATAGTTAAAGAAGATGAGGACATTTCATCAAATAGAAGGAATACAAGTGTCACAAAAGAACAAAGTTACTAAACCCAAAAAAAAAAAAAAAAAAAAACCCTCAGACAAAGACTCGTCATAAAACGTTAAAAAAAACATGTACAATGAATAGAGGCATAAAGCATCAATTACCCAAAAATAAGATAAAATTTTATTCAAAAAAAAAAAAAAAATAAAAAAAAACTAAAAAAAAAATAAAAAAATAAAATAAAAAAGACGTATTCATAGCAAATGAACAAGCCAAAAATAAAACAAAAAAAAATAATCATAAAATCATTCAATGACCAACATTAAGCAGTCTTTTTAGGTCATTCTCCAAGGCAAAGTTTTCTTGGTTCTTATGAAGACCTAGTGGCTGGCCAATAGGTTGTTGCTGCTGCAAAGGTGGGAGCTGTTGTGGAAACTGCTGCTGGGGTGGCATAGGATAAGGCATTCCTGAAAGGGGAGGAGCATAAAAGGGGCTATTAGGCTCATAAAAATAAGGTGAAGAAGCAGGGTTATTCATAGCCATAGGGACAGGCATAGCACCATTCTGCGAAGGATAGGGCCCGGTAGGACCAAAAGAATAAGGGTAAACAGGGCCATTCATGTAAGGGGCAGCACCACCGGGGACAAGACCATAAAAAGAAGCAGCCTGTTGTGGCTGCTGTTGCTGTTGAATATCGACAACTTGAGAAACAGGAGGGGATACTTGCTTCAACTGTTCTTGAGACTGCTTCAAAGAAACCTCTTTTGGAGAGGAAGACACAGTTTGCTTAATAGGAGAGGAGCTCACTGAAGAAGGCGAAGAAGAAACAGATGAAGCAGCATCTTGGTCGGTCAAGTTATCAGAGGTATCAATACTAAGGTTACTGTGGTGGGCCTTGGGAGAAATCTTGCCCATAAAGGCAGGCTTAGGAAGAGCAGAGGGGTCGGGCGTGTTTGAAAAGCTTGAACCAGCAAAGCAAATTTTGGAAGGCGAAGTTGTAGAAGAGCCACCATTACTACCACTGCCAGCAGTGGCAGCAGTAGGGTTATTATCAAAAGAGTTATTATTGTTGTAGTTATTAAAATTATTATTATTGTTGTTGTTGTTGTTGCTGTTGTTGTAGAGTTTGCAGCGTTGAGGACCAGACCCGTTGTTGGAGCTTTTGTGTCCATACAAGTCAGGAAACAAAACTTCCTTTAGATCCTTTTCCTCTTCAGAGTTTTCAGAATCATCCTGTTGTTTAGATCTCTTGCCGCCGCGACGCAAAGGACGAGATGAGTTATCCAAGTTAGGTTTGCTAGATTTACCCCGTCTACCGGAAAGGGGAAGGTTGGGTAAAGAGACGGTGGAAGGAGAAGGAGAGGGGTCGGCAGAGTCAAAAGGCTTTGAGGTTTGTTGTCGTAAGCCTCTGTTACGTTTTGAAGGAGAGGTTGCATTGTTGTTGTTACTATTAATATTAATATTATTATTAATATAATTATTATTGTTGTTATTATTATTATTTGTGCCGAAAGAAGAGGAGCTACCAGAGCTTCTAATTCTGCGACGCTGCGAGTCAGGCAAGGGGTTTGTCTCACTAGCGTCGTTAGTGGCGGTATAGTTAGAGTCCTGCTCCTGCTGTTCCAGAGGCAAAAGCTTAGCACGGTTTTTTCGGCCACCAGAAGTAAAACTATCAGTGATTCTACCCTGCTGCTGCTGCTGCTGTTGTTGTTGTTGTTGCTTTGGAGCACGGGGCTTTGAGAAGGTACCACTCCTATTGGAAGACATCTGCAAGTTTCCGCTTTCGTTTCCGTTATAGAGGGTCAAGCTCTTACGGCCGCGGTTAGTCAAAGAATTTCCAGAAGAGGATAGAGAATTAACATTATTGTTATTCGAGTTATTTGCACCATTATTACGACGGCCAGAACCGCGAGGTTTGTTGAGAGCGTTTCGAACAATAGCTTGGTTGGTTATGACTGAAGTTGCTTTGGGCATAGTCGGGGTTATAATCGGAGATGAATGTGCGTGCGACATAGTTGCGATATGTTTGCATAGGAAAAATATTTAAAAAAAATTAAAAGAAAAAGACACGTTTCGTTTATTATATATTTTACAGTATCTTTGAAGGTTTCCAAAAAAAAAAGTAAAAATAGAAAAAAAAGACGCGCAACGTTGTTTCCAAAAAATAGAAAAAAATAAATCAAGTGATCAAAAGTTGATATAAAAAAAAGTAGAGTTCAATATAAAAAAAGAAAAATTTAAAACACAAAGAAAAGACTAAATGAAGTCGCTAGTTTGGCAAAAATAAAAATATCTGAACAAAAAAAGAGAGAGTTTTGTGGGTGAAGAGAAAGAAAAAAAAAAAAAAAAAGAAGGGAAAAGAAGAAAATGGCGATGCGTGTTTGGAGGTTTTGAAAAAAAAAAAAAAAAAAATCCCACGCACTGCCACCAACGCCCCCTCATAACATTGTTACAACATGTTACGTAAATATTACATAAATGTAACATATAATAATTTCACGTGATAAAAATCACACACACACACACACACTTTTGAAGAGTTGATCTTTTGAAGCATTTCATTCAATCTCAAATAAATACATACGAACGTATTTTCATAGGAGAAAAAAAAATGGTTTTGCATAATTCTAAATGGGACAAAAAGGCTACAAAAAACTACTATCGGAAGCATAACATTAAACCCCCTCTTCCAAAGCATTTAAGAGATAAAACACAAAAGGATGATGCTGAAAACAGCAGCTCGAGTGACGAAGACATTAGTGGGAAGGAATACAGTGATGCAGAACATCACGAGACAAGAAAAGAAGAATCTTCCAGTGAAGATGAAAAAAGCTCTGAAGAGACCGAGGAGAAGCCAATAGATGAGTTTGGTGACAAGACTAAAACGGGATCAACGACGCTTGCCAAAGTTGTGATTGATGCGGCTGGGCTGACAGAGGAAGACATTGCGAGAATGAAGAGTGGCCGCAAGAAGAAGCCTGGATCTAATGCATGGCGATACAGCAGGAAGAACAAACAAGGTTACAGCAAGGATGATTCTGTTGCAGAGTTGTTGGCTGTACAAGAGCGAAATCCTCAGCTTAAGTACGATCCGGAGTTTCAGGAAGTTCTCAAGGCGCGGCAGGAAGAAGAGGTTTTTGAAGAAGACCAATTGCGATTAGCAAGAGATATTACAACTAAAAAGGCTGTTGAAGAAGAGGAGCGACTGCGGCGAGAGGAAGATGAGGAAGAGGAGCGCGAGGCTCGTGAAGAAGAAGAAGCATTGGAGCGATTGCGTCAGGAACGTCATGAGAGAGAGCTACGTGGAGAGACCAAGACTTATACACTTGCAGAGCTAGAAGATTCCGATGATGAAGATACCAAGAGTCGTTGGCAAAAGGGGAAATGGACAGAAGAGAAGCCAGAAGACACACCTAAAAAGAGCAATGTGAAGAAGCTTAAGGATACTTCAGAGTATTATTCTATTCAACGAGAAATTGATAAAGCAGCAACAGAAGCTGCGATTAAAAAACGGTTTGCAGGTGGCAGCAAAGGCAGTGGTATTGGCACTGCTAGCCACCTTACGGGAAAGACTGGTGCTGGGACAGGCAGAGTGTTGGATATAACCGGGCGTAAGGACAAGGGTGACGATGAGCGGTTAAAACAATTTGTAAAAGACGAGAAGAGACACGGTTCTAAAGCTGAAAATGAGCGGTTACGTGGGGCAGGTTCAAAGTTTGTTTCAAAGGGAGAAGAAGATATTGATTCGTTTTTGAACTCTTTAGATTCTCTCAGCGTGACCGATAAGAAAGATCCATTGGGTGCAGGTCCACATTTAGAGTCAGATTCGGAAAAGGAATACAAGTTCAGTCTTAGTGGTATACCTGGATTGGACTCAGATGATGATAATGATGATGATGGTAAGACACCCCCTAGGTTTAAACTACCGGTTACAGGTGGGGTCAACAAAGATCAAGAGGCTTGGCTTGATAACTTACTTGGGTAAATAGAATGATTTTTCAAAAGTTGTAGTAGGATTGAATAAATGGAATTGAAATCCTTAGCCAAATAACGTAATTTTGCTTAAAACTTTTTAAAAAAAAATGCCTGAGTTTTTACAAACATAGTAATTTGAGACATTACAAATATAAAATATATGGCGAGAGAAAAAAAAAAATAAGGAAAAATTGAAGGCTCAGTGAACACAATACATAAGATGATGACGTTTTGATCTCAAAGGTGAGTTTATTTAAAGTATTAGGTGTTGCAGCTACAATTGTACTTAATTTGGGAAAAACAAAGTCAAACCCTAGCAAAGTTCTAACTATATTTTAGTCAATCAATTAAAATGGAAGTCAGAAAAAACATGGTAGCAGGAAATTAATGGAGGCATGATTTATTGTTTTTACCGAATATTTTCAATTAAGTTTATTAAGAAAAAAAAAACCTTTTACCTTAAAATTTATAGTTTTTAGATTCTCAAAGTCTTTTTTTTCTAATTTTGAGCTCAGCCACCTGATTTTCAAATGAATTTATTTCAACTAGTTTATAGGTACTGGCATATATTATTGTTCATCATCAGTTCTATCGATAACCTGGGCTGATAAACAAGCATATCAGTATAGGAACAGACCTTTTTCAAAGTGATAATAAAGGGATTGAAATATAATATCTAGAAAGTAACAAGTACCTATATAGGTACTTTTTGCAATATATTGTGCAAGTTTAGAATAAGTTAGGCACCCATATCTATGAAAATACTTTAGTATATTCAAGTTAAGAGCTAAGCCACGACTCCGGTTTTTTTTTGTTTATAGACATTGATAATATTTTCATTACATACATAAATCTGGGGTAGTAGTGTGTCATGGTCTTAGAATTAGATGTCTAAGCCTTTCAATAATATTTTGAACTCTGGATAAAATAAATTGGGGATTTCTGGTATTAGTTACAATGGCAAATTGATCCTCTTTAAGTTTATGATTAAACCCAAGCTTTCAAACTACCATTTTTCTTTGGCTGAGCCATTGACATGACTTAAGCCTTAATACGTTTTAATTGAAAAACGAGCAAGCAATAGAAGGACTTGATCAAATTGATATTGTATTTGTTTAAAAGCTATCAAATACTACTTGATGTTTAAAATTCATAAGACCATAAATTAGTACATTGAAAGTTTTAAATATGATTCTCATTGCTTAAAAAGTTTATTTTGAGACCAAAAAAAAAAAAAAAAAAAAGATTAGGCGATAATTTACCATAGGGTTGCTTCTTAAAAACAAAATAATCTTTGATATTCTGTAAACTATTAATTATTTTGCTAATACGGCGGAAAAAAGATTCTTTTAATTATATTACTACTGTCAATTAATTTAGAATTGGCCCCTGGGGTGATTTTTGTCAAGTGGTTAAAATATTCTAAAAAAATATGAAAAATATTTTTATTTAGTCATTGCAAAGCATATACCAATCTGTTACTAAAGAATAATTAGTTATTCACTAAGAAAAGGTATTGTTTTTAAGTGAAGAATACTTTAACTGGGTAGTGGGTGAGTTTGATGAATATGTGTAATCAGGATATCAGTATTTATATAAGAAAACAGTCAAGAACATAGTGACTGACTTTATTTTGGATTAAGTTAAATTTAAAAGAAACTTATACAATCAGTTCATTTTTAGAATATCCAATTGCAATATATATATTATAATAAAACTAAATGAAATTCAAACCAGAATTCTTTGGACACTTTTTCAGGATGCAAAATGAGACTTAATCTCGGGAATTTTCTCAATTGTTAATCATGGGGAACCAAAAAAGAATTTATTTAAATGCCATCATGTTGTTATTGAGATTTTCTTCAAGTTTAATCTGTTGTGTAATTTTTATATATAGAAAACAATGATTATAATCAATTTTTTTTTTGTTATGCCTACAAACTCTCACAGCAGGTATTCGAACAATAACTGGAAGTTACAATTAAATTGAATTGAATATGGTAAAATAGATATAAAATGCAATAATTCAACAACATATCAGCTTTAAATTTAAGAGCAAGATGAAACTTTACAATAGGTATCTTTAGATATAGATTAAGGAAAAAAGAAATATGCATATATATATATTTTATTTTGTGTGATAGTTGATAACCTCGGGGATCTTTTTTTTTTTTTTTTTTTTTTTTTTTTTCTGATTAATTGTCAAACCGAGGAAGTGTTTAGAAAAAAGTAACCGGTTCATTGATTTGTATGCGTGCTGATTATATAAAGGTTTCTATTTCCTCGGCACATTGAAAGAGTATATAAGAATTAATTTTTTTTTTCTTTTTGTTGGGAAATTATTGATCCTTTGATGGTATCAGATTAGATTTAAAATTAAAGAGAGTATTTATAGTAAGAATTAAATAAATCTAAATGGGTTTGATAAATTATATGATGAGTTCATATTGCCAAGTGAATATACAAGAATTGATTTTGAGGATGTCAAAAAAAAAAAAAAAAAATTTGGTATTCAAAATTGGAAAGGGAAATGTAAACAAGCCAATGGTATATACATGTATTTTATTACACTGTCAAAACTATGCTTGGCTTTTTTTTTTATTTTTTTTTATTTTCTAGGCTACAACGGTTCTATTTAAAAAGAATTTGGCAAGTGGGTATGTTTTGTAGATTACCAGTAAGTATGGATTAGGAAAAAGTGTATGAGTAAGTTGAGTTTTTGTTTGAGTGGATAATTTATTAATTTAAAAGGCGTCTTTACCAGTCACCTCTTCGGGTTGGTATCATCCAACGTTTGATTAATTAACGGTTAATTTTTTGATTTTTTTTTTTTTTTAAAAAATAGACAATTAGGTTTGATGGTTGGAGTTAATTAATGTGAATTAAAATAAAAAGATTTAAGAAAAAAAAAAAAAAAGAGGATGAAATAATTAAGATATTTTAGTAAATAAAAAAGAATAAATAATAAATTAAATTAAATTAAATTAAATTAAATTAAATTTAAATATAATCTTACATAAGCTTGTAAAATAAATTGTTTTATTTCTTTTTTCTTTTTAGAGGAAAAGCGGTAGGGCTACAAGATTCCGTTATTCCGTGAATACTTGAAGTAGTCTTATTGAAGTAATTGAAGTAATTGAAGTGTACTTACACACACGGCTATCTTAGACAATTCCTCAAGTCCGTGGAGGTATTAATAATTTATCACGGATAAGATACTGTGCGTATGCTACATCATTAAACTTACCAAGAGAGATGGATTTTTTTTTTCTTTTTTTTTTTTTTTTTGGTTACTTAAAGGAGGAGAAAAGTCAATGAAAAAGGATTACGATAGAATGACGACACAAACGGATATTAGCGGAGGTCCTCATTTCTTTCTTTTTCTTAAAAAGGGAGAGAGAAATAGAGATGGAGCGGGAAAAGAATAATTTCCATTCTCCGGAAATAAGACATGAACGGATCTTTGCCATTTAGAGATATAAAAAAAAAATTATAAACTTTATGGAATAGAAAAGCAAGAAAATATACAGTTATATTTCTTTTATTTTTTTTTTTTTTAAAAAAAAGATTATGAAGCTTACAAAAGAAATGAGTATCGTAGATTGGATTTTATAATGAAGAAAGCCAAAAGTCATATGTCGTAATTGCAACAAAACCTTTTTTTCTTTAGAATAATATATATATATATATGTATATAGTAAATATAAAAGTCAAGTTATTTGATCTAAAGGTACACACACACACATACATACTGTATATGCATCAACCCCCTGCGGGTACTTGCTTATAAAAAAAAAACAAGAAGAAGGAATAAGCGAATACAAAGAAATAAAAAAAAAGTGGACCTCAAATTGAGGAGAATCATATTGACATCAGAAAACCACTTTAGAGAAGAAGAAAGAATTTTTTTTTATTAAATATTATAAAAAAAAAATAAGAATTGAGAGAATTTTTTCTTTCTTTCGTTAGACTGAGTGAACTGATCAGTTCAAAGTCATGACTTTGATTGGTAAGAAAAAGAATTAATGAAAAGTTAGTAGAAGATCATTATTATCATTAATCATCAATTAAAATGATGAATGCTTAATGATTTCTTGCTAATGTATTCAAAGAAGCAGTCAAAATAACTAATAGTGTAATTAAACCAATCAAAAAAAAAAAAAAAAGTTTAGACAATTGAGTTTGACTAATATCAGCTGCAACAGTAAAGTCCTTTTAATTTTTTGTTCATTTGTTTGTAATCAGTTCTACTCTACTCTACTCTGTAAATATTCTCATAAGTCAAAAGAGGTAACTTATCCAGCTTACGAAATGTCAATTATTCTTGGATTCTTGGATTCTTGGATTCTTGGATTCTTGAACTAGACTGAGAGCAAGAAAGAAAAAAAAAAAAAAAATTGGTTCATGAAAAAATTTTTAATCGGATCTTTGCATGAACCAATGTTTTTTTTTTTTTTTTTGATATATATCATCATCATCATATAAACTTGGTTCCGGTATCCCTGAATGTCAAGATATGAATTCCGTAAAAAATTAATTTTATATTTTTTTTTTTAAAAAAAAAAAAAAAAAAAAGAATTGAAATGTTTAAAAATGATCATGATAATATGGGGGTTTTCAATCAAGAACACCCTGATGGACCCAGAATCCGGTTACTTGTCTTGAGAGGGGTTTGTATGGGGTGCACGGCTGGACCAGTTTCCGATAATTTTGATTGAAAAAAATTAAAATTAAAACAAAAATAAAAATTAAAATAAAAATTAAAATAAAAATTAAAATAAAAATTAAAATAAAAATTAAAATAAAAATTAAAATAAAAATTAAAATAAAAATTAAAATAAAAAGTGTCGTTTAAACGACCAAATTTGGTAACTTGAGTTTGTGTGAGTGAGTGACTCTTTAGTTTCTTTCAACTTACTCAAAACTGATTGTTGTTGTTTTTTATTTTTCAAGATTATCATCATCATCATTAACTTTTTTTTTTTGTTTTTAAAAAAAATAATAATATTAAAAAAAAAAAAAATTTTTTTATTCTATTTACTTGGTTGGTCATCAATATTTTCAATTTCTTTTTATTTTTAATTATATATATATATAAATTTAAAAGAAATGAAAGAAATGAAAGAATTAAAAAAAATTTTTTTTTTCTTTAAAACTGGATGATGACAAAACTTTTTTTAAATTTTTATTTTTATTTTTATTTATATTTTTAATGAGTGATGATGATGGATGAATGAACCCAGTAATTCATTCATTCTTTAAAATCTGTGGAAACAACAACAACAACAACAAACAACCGCGGCTTGTTATATCAAAACTAATATAAAACTAATTAGTTTATTTAATTGCATTCTTTAATAACCCTTGGTGAAACGTCAAAGTGGCTAGTGAAAAAAAAAAAAAATTTTTTTTCCTTTCTTTCTTTCTTTCTTTCTTTCTTTCTTTTAGGAAATTACGGGGTATAATACTATATATAATAATAAAGAATAGTTATGTGATGTTTAAAAGGTCTTTGTGGAAAAGGAAAAGAATCGGTGAAATAAATAAAATAAAAAGGGGTTATTGATATCGGCAATCCAGTGATATCGGCGATTCCAAAAAAATAAATATATATATATATATATATATATATATATATATTTATTTTTTTCATTTTTCATTTTTCATTTTTTTCTTAAAACACCATTTACTAGTCTAGTTATTTTATTATTATTATTATTATTCTTTGCCTTTCTATTTGATCTTTTTTTTTTTAAAAGAATTTTTTTTTTTTTTTTTTTTTTTTTTTTTTTTTTTTAAAAAAAAAAAAAAAAAAAAAAAAAAAAAACAGTAATATACAACTTTTAGTAGTGATGTAGGTCACCAGGCGAATCAGATGAACCAAAAACAAGTGCACAGCAGGATATAGTATTAATTGAAAAAAAAAAAAAAAAAAAAAAAAAAAAGATATTGAAGAAACCACCCTGGTTTATAAAAAAAAAAAAAACGGTTTCTGGGGACGAAAGTGGTGGGAAGAGTAGGTCACGCGAGAAGAAGAAGAAGAATAACAATAAAAATAAAAATAATAAAAATGGAGAGAACCGATTGTAATTGGTAGATAAATAAAAAAAATAAAAACTAAAAAATAAAAAATAAAAAATAAAATTGATATTTGCCCGTTGGATTTAACAGATGATTATGATCTTAATTATAATTATGATAATAATGATGATGATCTTGACTGAGATAATTATCATTTTTTTTTTTTTTTTTTTTTGAAAACAATCTTATTTGTAGGAAGAGGAGGAGGAGGAGGACTGGAGAAAAGATACGATTCTTTGTGATTATTTACATTTTGATTTTAGGCCATGTCAATCATAATCATAATCATAATCATGATTGTGATTGTGATTGTGAATCTAATATTTATATATTTTATTTTTTTTGCTCGCCTTAAGCGTAAAAAATACAAATATGAATATGAATACAAATTTTGTATACAAATTTTTTTTGTTTATTAAAAATATAATAAAATAAATATCACTCAATTTATAAATGAAAATAAATGAAAATAAACAAATAAACATATAAGTAAATAAATAAACAGAAGAAAAAAAACTCCTCATCAATTATTAAAAGGTCTCATGGTTATTGGGTCATAATAATGTGTTTTTTTAAAAAAGATTCTAGATAAGTTTGAAAAATAAATATATATATATATATATATATATATATATTTGTGACAACTAAGAAACAGAATTCAGAGGGATTTTAATTTAATTTAATTTTTTTAATTCTCAAAGTTTCATTTTCATGATACTTTTTTTTGATTGATTGATTGATTGATTGATGGATTGATTCTCTTAAGTTTTAAAAAAAATAAATTTCTTCTTTGTTGTTTTTAATATATAAATACTTTTAAACCTTTTATTTTGTTTTGTTTTTTGTATATTAAATGTTTTATAGTTTGTTTGTTTGTTTATTCTCATCTCTCTCTCTCTCTCTCTCTCTCTCTCTCTCTCTCATTTTTTTTTCTCTCCCCTTTTGTTTTTTTAAAAAAATTCAACTTTTGTTTCATTTTTTTCAGCTTCATCTTCTTCTTCATCATCTTCTTCTTTTTTATTAACTTTACTTACACTCGTGATATATCATGTATCAAAAGGTACTCAATACTATGTAACTCGTTTACACCATACAACAACAATACTTACAGGATGGTCTTTCCCTTTTCCCCCCCTCGTGATGATTGACAGGTACTAAGTACCATTGTTTGTGTATATTATATATATTTTTTCATTCATTCTTTCATTCATTCACTTATTTCAAAAAATGAATGAACCTTTTTTTTTTTTTTTTTTTCTGTCCCCTACAAAGCCGTACGCTTTTTTTTTTTCCCACTTTATTTCAAGTCTTTTCTTCCCCATAAATTGTGGAGATTGTAGATTTTTTTTTTAAAAAAAAAAAAAAAAAAAAAAAAAATTTTTAAATAAATAAAAGATAAAAATAAAATAAATATGACACCAAGTTATTATTCAAATAATATACATAAATAAATATATAAATAAATATATAAATTTCCTTTTAATATATATATATATTTTTGTTTTTCCTTGTATTCCGTCAAACTCCTTACCCAATCTCCTTCTTCTACAAACGGAATTCAAAAAAAAAAAAAAAAAAAAAAAAAAAAAGTTATATTTGTGGGAGTGTATTTAATTTTTTATATGCTAAAACAATTTCGGGTTTTGATACCTACAAGAAATTTTTTTTCTTAATATGAAGAAGAAGAAGAAGAAGAAGAAGAATAAGAAGAAGAAGAAGAAGAAAATCATTTATTAATGGACCTATTAGTTTTTTTTTTTTTTTTTTTTTTTTTTTTTTTTTTTGGAGGAGGAGGAGGAGGAGAAGGAGAAGGAAATTAGTGACAAGAGGGAACTTTAGGCGGTGGCGTTTTTTCAATGGTTCTGGGCATGGCTGCTAACTGCTAACTGCTACATTTATTGTTGTTGTTTTAAAATTTTAAATAAATAAATAAATAAATAAATAAATAAATAAATAAATAAATAAATAAATAAATAAATCCTTTACGTCGTCTTATTAACTCTTATTCTACTACTTCCCTAATTGAGTCTTAATATTATCTCAATCGTACATCATATATATATATATATATATATAATAAAGTATTAAAGTATTAAAGTAGTTAAGCCTAGACATTAGTCAGTTTATCTTGTTATTGTTGGTAAATAAATATTCATCATCATCAATTGGAATATCTTTCATTGTAGGGCTTTGAAAGAAAATGATATCCGTACCAAACAATTCCGTGTAAAATAAAAATAAACTAAACTGAACTAAACTATAAACTCATTTCCGAAGAATATATAGAATAGATTGAATATAGATGAATGGACATATGGATGAATAGAAATTTTTTTTTTTTTTTTTTTATTCTTTCATTTATTATAGCCTGATTTTTTTTTTTTTTTTTTTTTTTTTTTTTAAATATATTCCAAAAACCCAAATAAGGTCAATCAGGTAAATCATCCTCTTCTTCCTCCTTCTCTTTCTCTTTCTCTTTCTTTTCAATCACTATATATATATTTATAGTAACCTTCAATTGAATGTTGTTAATTTTAATTAAGTAAGTGAGTGCAATGAGTTCAATGAGTTCAATGAGTGCAATTAATAGTCTTTAGAAAAAAAAAAAAAAAAAAGAAAAAAAGATTCTGGCTGGTTTAAATTTGGTCTAGTCATAGAGTTAACTTGTGATCTGATAATAATAACAAATAAATAAATAAATAACTAAATAAATAAAATATATGTAAAAGACTAAAAAAATAAAATAAAATAAAAAAAAAAAAAACACTCTCGCGTCATGTTTGTCATTCAACACTACTGGTGATGATTTTTTAAAGTTATAAATTATTATTCTATTTTAATTCTTTAAGAATAATTGATTGATTGATTGAATGAATGAATGAATGAATGAATGAATGAATGAATGAATGATTGACTCAGCTGCAATCAAACTTTTTTTTTTTTGTTCTTCTTTTTGGTTCCTTTACATACGGCTTTCAAGTTATTATTATTATTATTATTATTATTATTATTATTATTATTATTATTATTATTATTATTATTATTATTATTATTATTATTATTATTCCTTTAGGTCAGCTGCAAAGAAAAAAAAAAAAAAAACTTTTTATTTGTTTTTTTTTTTTCAATTTTTTTTAATTTTTTTTTTTTAATTTTTTTAATTTTTTTTTTTATTATAATCATTATAAAATACAAATTCATTATTCATTAATCGTTAGAAGGAAAAGAAGAAGAAAAAGAAAAAAAAGCTCATATCTTCATCAATCATCATCATCATCAATCATTTATAAAAAAAAAAAAAAAAAAAAAAAATCATTCAGATTATTAAAATAAATGAGGAATCATCTTAGTATACCATTTCCCGGACCCCGCTGCTGAAGCTGTAACTCCTGACTGTTGTTGTTGTTGTTGCTGAGAAATCTCAACTCCACCATCATCTTTCCGATTCCCATGCGAACCCCGTCTGCGAGACTTGCGCGGCTTGGCATTTCTTTTTCTATCCCCATCACCATTACCACCACTGCCCTCACCTGACGACTCAGAATTCAATGACGATTCCCGACGTAAACTTTTTCTTCGAGTTGTCTGAGTATCTGAATGTTGCTGTTGCTGCTGCTGCTGCTGCTGCTGCTGATGTTGATGTTGCTCATTCTCAAGTTGAGACATCCGACATCTCAACCCATGATCAAGATTCAAAAGTAACATAATGGCAACCATTGATAATGCATCATTCACACGTACCCGCTGATTAGTTTGCGAGTGTCCTGCCAAATGTTTTGTAGTTTGTAAAGTATTTGGACAAACCTTGACTGGGAACATGGGAGGAGAACTCATTCCTCCAGTTAAAGTCTTCCCAAGTCCATTCACTTCATCACCTGAACTGTAAAACTCTTCATCATCTTCACCACCAGCTGCAGCCGCTGCTGCAGCAACTTGACGTTGTAAATGTAACTTCTTAAGACGATTAATATACTTGAATCGCATATGTCGTACATATTCATCAAGGAAAAATTGGCGGAGTGGCGAATCTTGAGCATCCACCATCCGTAACTCGTAACCTTTAAGACTAGCAATAACAGTCCATCCTCCATTGGCCTTGCCACGGTTAACCATAAAACACCACTCCTCATCTTGGGCTGCAAGAGTAGCTGCACGGTTAGTGCTACTGGTGCTTGATCCATTGGAGCTTCCTGCGGCAAGAGAATACACTTCACCGGAAAAAAATGGGCGCGACGCAGACCCCCGCTTATTAAGAAAATATCGTGTGGCAGCTGTACGTGTGAAGCTTGGCGGCTCCAGTCCATGGTTAGAATTAAAAGTATCATCAAACTCTCCTCCACCACCAACAA